TGATCTTTCATTCTCTCCCACCTTTCTAAATTTTCTAAGTCTCTGAGGTAAAACTTTTTTGGCAGACTAACAGATTCTTTGGGTGACTGAAGAAATTGTCTGTGGGAATGTCTGCAGCTATTGTAATGACAAAACTTCAGAGTCTACTTTATCAAGGAGAATTGTGGGAGTGAAAGAACAGAAACAAACAAACAAAGAGGCCAGATTTATTGCAGTTATTTAATACAATGTTCCAGGTTCCTTCTAGTACCCTTTGGGAAATTTCATTACAATGACCTATAATAAGTAGAAAGTCCTTTTTTTTTTTTTCTATTAAAGAAAAATGAGAATGTAATTGAGAAAAATATAGTAATTACTGGGAGATCATATAAATGTTATGCTTAAAGAGTTAGGAAGAAGGGAAAGGGTGAATTATATTCCATCCTTACAGAAGCAGGGAGCTGGATGGAAGAATAAAGAACAGAATCTTTGCTTGAAACTCCAGCTGTGTAATCCTAGGCAAGTATCTTAACCTGTCTGAGTAATCCTTATTGTGAGGATTAAATGGAATAACAAATGTAAAACGCCTGAAAATTAGTGGGTTGCCAACATATGCTAACTCCTCTTCCCCCACTGAATTTTTAGTAATGGAATCTTCTCACTGGCACTTACTTTTAAATAATAGATACAAAAAAATTAAGCTCTTTGTATCTTTCTGGAACTTACTATCTATTGGGCAGAGAGGATGTAAACAAAAATAAACAAAAATAAAAGACAAGGGAGATGTCCTATCTATTTTATTGTATTGAATCATGGACTAAAAGTGCAAATATTTATTGGATAAATGAAAGTGATTATATTTTATTAAAGAGATGTACATGAATAGATCAGTATGCCTAGTCTTAAACATCAACATGAAAATAAAACACAAGATCTGGAGATAAGGTAAAGAAACAGAAAAAAAAAAAGTTACCAGATATATAATACAAAACGAATAAGGGTTGGATTCTGAGGGTTTAATCACACTTTGTGGTCAAGAAATTAACTCTTTCATTCAATAATTATTTAGTGAGCATCCCCTGTGTATTAGATATTATACTTGACTATGAAACTACAAAAGCAAAATTATTCTAGCTTCCTTCTTGTATCTGTGAACAGGGAAGTAGTATGTCAAATTAGTGAACAAATGAATGAATGAATGAGGATAAAGCCCAAAAGAAAAGTGAGTTTCTAAAGCAGAAGCAAAGTTAAACAGTTAAAGCAGAAAAATATGACCATGTGTAGGAATGCATATTAATAATATTTTACAGTTAAACTGCCTAATGGATTTTGGAACTTGTTAAAGTTTATTCATAATAAATCAAAATTGAAGGTCAATACATATTTTTAAATTTGCATTTAATTTGTATTTGCGATGTAGATAAAAGATCACATATGTTCTATCATCAGCCAGCTCATTTACTTAGTGCAGCTGGCAGTAAATTTTCCCTTTTTAGACAGCCAAACAGAAGGCATTAAAGAACAATGCCCAGGGGTGCCTGGGTGGCTCAGTGGGTTCAAGCCTCTGCCTTAGGCTCAGGTCATGATCTCAGGGTCCTGGGATCAAGCCCTGCGTCGGGCTCTCTGCTTCACAGGGAGCCTCCTTCCTCCTCTCTCTCTCTCTCTACCTGCCTCTCTGCCTACTTGTGATCTCTGTCTGTCAAATAAATAAATAAACAAATCTAAAAATAAAGAACATGACCATAAATCAGGGTCAGAGGACCCTTCAAAGAAAAGAAAAATCCAAACATTTGAGGCATATTTAAGATGCATTTAGAAGAAATTGCAAAATTTAGTCAAAATCAATTCTAGACAACCGGTTCCATTATCCATCAAGTCTGTGCTGAAATTATTGGGTATAAATTTTTACAACAATTTCTGAATGGAAATTGACCTAAGGAATAGCTGTCTAAAAATACTAAAAAATAAAATATATATATATATAGATAGATAGATATAGATATAGATATATATATATATATGCTTTAGAAATGTCTTATTCCTTGGGAGAAATATGGTTGAGACTGTTCCCCAAAAGAGTAAAAGAACTACCCCCCTTCTACATTCATAATTGAATAGAATGTAAAATTTCAGTTGGAGTCTAGTTAAAAGTTAATATTTTCTCAGCCAGGTTCACGGACCAACTGACTTATATCTGTGGGCCTCCGCTTTAAGAAGTTTTTTAAATCTCAAACTAATCTGCAATTCAGAATCAATGTCTTTGAAGTAAGAGGAACTTTATCATTAGTACAACTTGTTTTTTTAAACTGTGAGGAAACTTAAGCAGGAAAACTATCTAAGTCATCAGACTCTCATTTCCACATTTGTTCCATTGTATGCTGTTGTGATATTTGCTATCACATATGTCTAAACATTTTCTGGGTAGCATGATGAGATTCAGTTGCAAATCTTTGGTTTGGCTTGGTGTCATTTATATTGTTTAGGAATTTGCTGTGCCTGAGAGATGTTTAGAATAAAGTCTTAGTTCAAGTTAAAAAAAAAAAAAAACAAAAACAAAAAGTTAATTCAAGAGTATTTTTGCCCTTTTGAAAACAATCTGAGTTGAGAGAAACTACATCATATGCTCTTTTAACCTAGGCAATGTACAGCAAAGTGCTGAGCAATTATATGGTGGATTTGATCAGTTTTGACAGCCTGTCTTGAAACTCAAGCCAGAATCCCCTGCTCTTTCTACCACAGCAGGTTTCAAGACTAAATTATATGACTAATTACATCAAATTTCTACTTTACTTTGGCAATGGCCTTACAAAACCTGCATGTGCAAAATGACTTTCCTAATCAGCTTTAACAATTCTATCTGTCATGATTATTTTACAACTTCTATATCAGGATACATAAAATAATGATGGATAAAAATATTTGAAAGCCCTCTGAAACACTATGAATTATCTTGTACCAAAGTCATCCTAGAACATTCCCATTCTTTCTTCAATTCCTGCAACTCATATTCATCAAATAGAGTGTTTGATTAGAGAATTTATAATCTGGTAATTATAAATCAGTTCAGGAAGTTCTCCTCATTCTTTGCTTGAAACATGTCCAAGAACATGTAGATTATCTGGATAATTTCTTTAGTATGTATAATACCATAATCACATAAGAAATGCATGGTATTCACATTGACAGTATATCCTTTACAGTAATGTAATGTACTTGTGAAATTGAGGTGCTCTAAAGGTAAAGGTCATTAAATAGACAATGATTTTATAATAATCCAAACCTAAGAAATTACCTAGTAAAGCTGCAAGGAGATGGACACTCACTTAGGATACTCATGAAACTAAAGCAATCTCTTCAAAACTTAATGTGCAATGATCATTTTAACTTAGAGACAGAAACACATTGAAATGACAGATGGGATATCACTTCTGAGATGAAAGTAAATTAACTTTGGGGCAATTTATCTTTCACAGAATATTAGGGGCAGTGCCTGCAGACCACAGATGTACACCTCATGAGGAACCTACCAAGACATCTGTGAGGTGGGGGGAACTGTAGTTTATATTCAAAGTGTAACTTAGTAATGGCATGTCAACCACACTCCAGATGAATGTTTCCAACATATAAGATAAAAAAAGAAAAATATATTTTGAACACCTTTTCTTTTTACATATGAGGTGAGTGATAACTGAAAAGCTCTAATTCTTATATATTAGTGGACCAACTAAAATAACAGAGAAAAGGACAAAAGAATGAGATACAGATAAAGAAGGGTGGGATAGAGAGAAAAATAGAAAAAGGGAAAGAGGAGACAGAGAGAGGAAACAAAAGAAAGACAAAAGGAACCACATTAGAGGAAAAAATATAGAAATTTTCCATTTTATAAGTTGTTAAATATTTGCAGAAGACAAATATATGTCATTGGAAAACACTTTGAAAATGATTCCTTTCTTATGACCACACAATATATGCCCTCCACCCCAGCATCCAATCCATTAAATAAATCACTTTATGTTTTATGTCTGTTTGCATGCTAGATTTTAAATACTGAACACATTTCTTCATCATTTTATTCATCTTTTGGTACAAGCACAGTTCCTGGCACATAAAAAGTGTTCAATAAATATTTGTGGAATAAATGAAAGAGTGAATGAAAAATTCTTCCAATTTCTTAAGCAGAAGAAAACTTCTACTTAAAAAAAAAAAAAGGTTACTGGGAGCATCTAGGTGGCTCAGTAGGTTGAGTCTGCCTTGGCCACTGGTCACGATCCTGGAGTTTCCAGGATTGAACCCCATGTCAGGCTCCCTGATCAGCGGAGAGTCTGCTTCTCCCTCTTCCCCTCCCCCAACTCATGTGCGCTCTCTCTCTCTGTCTTTTTTTCTCTCTCTCTCAAATAAAGAAAATCTTTTAAAATATAGTTACTGATTGCATGAATGTTTGGCAGGCTAGTGATTTTTTCTGTGATAGTTCCCACATAATTTATAATTTATTAACAAGTCCTACAGCTGATCAAACTTTGCAACTGACAGGGTCAGGTCTGCCGTGGATAATGGTGAGGCCCATGGTCGCAGTCTCCTCCTCTTAGATTGCATTCCAGATGTCAATCAGTGGGAACACATCATCACTTACTAGGGGGTTATTTCAAGCCTTAAGGAAACAAATTTGGTGTTAAAATAAAATAAAAATTATGCCTTTCTTGTTTTATGTTTGTTTTCCTTTTGGGATGGGTTTGGGGTTTAGCAACTTACAAGTTGGAGAAGATTAAAGGAGTGGTAAGTAAAGCATTTAATAAAAGTAGGAAGCAAAAACCACAGAAGGTACCAAAGGATAAGGAGGTATAAGGAGGAGAAACCAGAGAAATTAAAGAGCCTAAGTAAAGTGATCGGTCACTTATTTTACACTGTTCCAGATTTTTTTTTACCTGCTGAGTAAATTATTTTTATATAATATTCATTCTGAAATATTTAAATATTATATATCAATTCAAAATGAGAGTTCATAGCTTCACAAAATTACTAACCTTCCCTGGTACAATTGGTTTGGGCTTCATCACTGAAGTCTCCACAGTCATTGTCACCATCACAGGCCCAATGTCCTGGGATGCATCGGCCACTAGAACATCTGAACTGATTCTCCAAGCAAGAGTGAACACAGCCAACCTCGTCACTGCCATCCCCACAGTCATCATCTGGAAAGAAGCATCAACATCGAAGAAGTGAAAACTAACCAGGAAGAAAACTTTCCTTATGAAATATCTATCATTTCTTTTTGCTATATAGAGTATTCTTTTGTTTTTGATAAAAGAATGATAAATTAATGATGAGCATTTCCCACAAACAGTGAGGAAGATTATCTTTTCAATATTGTTTCACTTCTGATTAAGTATCAGCTAATAAACAAAGAGGGAAAACAAAACTTCACTTTGGATTTTAAAGCTTAATTTCTATTTCACTCAGAAATGACTAACCATTGACTAAACAAATCTATGCAACATGAAATAATTGTAAAATGGGAGAACAATGGTGATTGCAAGAACTTCATGGAATGATATAGCTGGTGATATAGTTATCATGGAAAATTGTTGTTTAGACCTATAATCCCTATGCCCCAGAGTTTATAACCATATCTTTAATTCAGAACCTTCTTTTCCATTCTCAACACGAGACGTCACTATGTACCCTTCCTCTACCGACTCGTAAGTGTGTGTTTATACTGGGGAATTGTCACTGTCATTAACAATGATTTATATTCTTTATTAACAATTGTTGCAGGAGGGAGGTGAGAGGAATGTGAAGTGAAAATTGATTAAACTGAAATCAGTGAGTGAGAATGTATGATATATACATAATTCATTTACCTGTGTTTGGCATAATTTAGCATAATGATACAATTGAGTATAAGAAAACAAACATTATTTGTACATAAAGGGCAAGGTGGCAGAGTTGAGACCATTTGGATAATTCCACAATAATTTATAAACTCCTCCAACCTGAGGTGACAGAGCACTTTACATCAGTGCTTTGGAGAACCTGAATCATCCAGGTCATTTCTTCAATTGTCCCCTTTACTTCCTGTCTGCAGACTTAAACTATGTCCAGCATAATGTCTGAACACAAATCTCTTTCTAGCCTCAAGGGACAGATCGAGTTCCATTATCCTTAATGCTAATCCCCACTGATGAGCCAGGTGCCCCCTCACCACTTGTCTTAGCCATTTTGCTCGGCCCTGCAAACTTTTCGTACAAACTACATCTGAAGGAGGTGAAGCAGCATGGACAGCCAGGTCCCCAATCAAATCAGTGCAATATAGGGAACATTTGGTACTTGCCAGAGTCGCAGTGCCATTTGCTGCTAATGCATCTTCCACTTTTACATATAAATTGAGTTAGTGGCTCACAAGTTGGAAATTCTATGAAAGATAGAAAAACATTCAATAGGAAAGAGGTTATTGACTGTGCTTGATTTAATTTGTATCTCATTTGCTAATGTGACCAGAACTCCACCCCTGTCTTTCACAAAAGGCAGAGGAAACAGTAGGTTAACGAATATAATGACATAAACTTCTTAAGTACCTAGGATACCCATACATTTCATATTTTTTAAATGAGTACTTTACAGTGACTGGAAGCCTCGGAGAATCATTTGATGAAGAACTGTATTCCCTGAACTGCACCACTGACAAGAAGGTTTGAAGGCAGTTATAGTCAGACCTCGTACTGGCCCTTGGGACTTGGGCTGGTCTAGCAGTTACGCTTCCCAGGGATTCCATCTACACCTATTCTTGATTATTCCTTTCTAAGAGTTAAGACTTTACAAAATATTCAAAGTCGTGTTACTTGAGCATTTTATTAGTATTTTCACCAGTGAAGCACATTGGCGATGGTGTCTTTAGGAAACAAGAATTTTGAATGACATTGTTACAAATTTTATAGAATGATTTCTTTCTCTTAAAAACTATGACATTTTTAAAGTTAAAGTCTATATTATTAACCTGTAGTTTTTGGCAAGTCACCGCTAGCTAGAATAGTAAAACGTGAGCAAATTAATTTTGCATGATAGTCACAAAGACATAGGTTGTGTATTATTTTCAAAATAATATTTCAAATGAAATTGAAGGCTATGATATTCATCCTCCCTCTTAAAATGTTAAAACAGTAAGTCAACTCTGGAGGCTGTGAGAACTCTCTCCAGTGTGTAGTTGAGCTGGGACAAAAGAATCAACCAGACTGACAAGCAACAGTATCCAGTGAATAGACTATAAGTGATAGCCATCTCTAGTACTGGTAACTTGTCCAAATCACAACAAAAATTGATATTATTTCATTAATAATATGTAAGGAAAGTGGTAGACTCATAACAGATCTGGTTGGTAGGGTATTGATTACTTGCTTTCCACTTCTTAAAAAACAATTTCTTTGTGTGAATTTACATTTGAGTATATTCCCCATAAGTTATTGGAATTTGAATGGAAATTATTCTAAAACTGACAAATCTTAATTAAATTTTGTGATTACCAAAGACATGCCTCAAGATATACATTTTAGAATAAATTTAACTTTTTAGAAACAAAAAAAAGTGACCAGAGCCTAAATATACTTTAAAAACAGAAGTAAAAAGGAGGCAATTACTGATATGAAGAGACAAAAGACTATATCAAAAGCTATCCATGCAGCAACTCAAATTTTCTGACATATAAAGGGAAGCACTTGAAAGAAAAGTGATAACACCCAAGGCATAATTTAATCAATACTTCTAAGAGTTTTCTTTTGTTACCTGACAAGATAATGAAAACTTACGTGTTTTTCTTTCAAGAATCAACAGGGATGTTGTCCAAAATATGTTTTCTTCTTTAGATAAACATTTAATGTTTCGAAGATGTACAGTAAACATGAATAATTACTTTAAACAAAATATTAGTATAAGTTATGGTTAAAATGAGCAAAAAACAAAATGCAGCTTCTAAGATATGATGAGATCTAACTTTTAAAAATAACACTGCATCTTTTTGAATCTAGAATACATTAATTCACATTTTCAATCTTTCTTCATAAACTTAGGAACATATTTACCAATATCATATATTTAAGTTGGAAAAAAAAAAAATCATCCCAAGCATTTGGAGACCTCTGAAATTTGGTAATATTTCATTGGGAAATTTTTCAAATGACCTTTAAGATTCTACCTCTTAAGATTCGAAGTCTAAAAACTGTCCCCCATACCCCCCCAAAAAAACCTGGAAGTTAGTTTGCAAAAGGTAAAAAAACAAAAACAAAAACAAAAACAAAAACAACTTTAAAAGTAAATAAAATAATCTAAAACCCAGTGTACCTTCAATCTTTAAGAAAATGAGCGATATATCTGCCCAAAGTTAATATAACATACATACTTGCATATGATGTGTATGTGATCTTAAATAGATGCATCTCATTCCTGAAATTTTTTTCACTTAATACTTAGTTACATTGTTTCTTTTGGCAACCTCCTTATCTAACTTAGTTTATAGGACCAAAAGGGTACTATACAGAATTTAAGAAAATGGCAACTAGAAGAAAGCATAGGACAAATCACTAAAAAGAACAAAGGCATTAATTGAAAGGATGGGTATAAGGGAGTGAATGAATTAGTGAAACTAATGTTTTATTTCTGTTTCATTGACAAAACACTGTGACCTTGAGTAAATTATAGCCTCTCTGGTGGTAGACATGTGGTTTGTAACATGATCTCTCAGGTCCTTAAAGTCCTAAGGGTCAAGAAATCAGAAGAAAGGTCATCTAGAAATGCACAACACCCTGAAGGCATTTAATATAGCAGAAATAGGGTTTATCTACTGAATAACTCCTGGGATTATCACAGAATTCCAGTAAAAGATAGTAACTGAACTTCAGAAAAAGAAAAATAGAAGAAAAAATTTAAAATGTTAAAATTATCTTTGGATTTTTCTCTGCTTAATAATGCAGTCAATGGGCAACACATTTTAGAAGGAGTTCCATCAACAATTTAAGTATAATATAAGGCATTTCATTCTTCAGTAACATTGGAAAATACTGTACCCATAATTTCTTAGTATCTTATCACCAGTATCTGATAGTGAGAGGACAAATGACAATATTCCTTCTTCTAAAAAATAAAACAAAAGCTTCTTAAAATAAATTTTACATTTCTCTGTTCTTCCATATTAGCATTAATTTAAGAGTTGAAAATAGTATCTGGAATTCAGTCTTTTTCTAGGCACTTGTTCTTTTTTAAGGTACTATGAATTCTTTTATTTGAAAAAGACTTAAATGTTAAGCACAATCTTTTCTTTCTTGACTTTGACTTTGGATCTCCCATGAGACAGACTGAAGGACACTTGGAAAGATTACCTGATTAACTCTGAAGAGAAAAAATTATGAATGAAAGTGGCTTACATTTTATATTAAAATTACACTAAAGAAAAGAAAACTATATTTTATTTCTGTGGTTACTTCAACCTCGTAGAATATTTAATATGGAGTAATGGACTGTTAAAAAATCTTCTATTGGTGCAGGTGGTATGCTCAATTTATCTATTATATATTTCACTTAAAATTTATTGCCAGGTTATATGTAAGCTATTATGTAAATGGCAACAATTTTCTCTCTCTCAAGGGTAATCTTCGATGGTAATGGTACTTATATTTATCCAGTACACAAAGCTTAGACGTACTTTTCAGATCCAATTTGTTTCTTTCCTGTTTCTACGAATTTTCTTACTTATTTTTCCTTCTTGGGCTCAAAGTGAGCATTTCTAAGTAACTTATTATTGATGTCTCAAAATAAAGTTATCATAGGTTTTTTTGAAAATATGTGGTCCATATCCTATATGTATATAAATTTGACCGTCATGACTAAGTATGGGGAAAATGTATAGGAGATTCAAGTTAAAATAAATGACAAAGTAAGAATATTACAAAAGCCCAGGGTAGGGAATTATTATCTAAACTTGAAGGAGACAATAATACTCACATTGCATGTTACTATTTACTAACTATGAGATACTATGCTAGCTATGTATATACATTACCTATACTCTTCACACCAGCCTTTCAATTGTTACTGCTAGCCCTGATTTGTAAAAGAAAACAGAATAACTTGCCTGAGGATACACTGCACAGCCAGCAAGTGTCAGAGTAAAATTTGAATAATAGTGTGACTGATTCCAAAATATATTATTTTATCCCTATACCATGCCAATCATACCATTACCCTTTAAAAATATATAGCACAGAAACATTTTTGTAAGGATGGAAAATTTAATCCTCCTCTGTGTTTTATGTAGCCCATTTAAATTTTAATTCTGATTACTACCTATTCTAAGGTACACAATTAAATATGGTTTTAGGAAAATACTGTTTTTTAAAATTTACAGATTATAGGATTATATCCTTTAAGGAAATATATAACATTTCTCGATGATGATACTAGTTGTGGCTCCTGAGAACTGGTACGTGCAGAGGACAGACTTCAAAAGATCCAATTAAGTAAATATACTTTGGAGAAAACCAGGAGAAAACAGTGTACCACCAATAATCTTCATTTTGCTGCTCTTTCATTGTTGTTACATAAAACCTCATTTTATACATCACAGAAGTCATATTTAAAGAACATAGTTTATAGGCAGGCAAATCAGAGTTGAAATCCTGATTTTAACACTAATTATTATATAACCTTGGATACTTATTAACATCTCTGACCTCAAGTTTCTACTCTGTAAAACATGGTAGAAAACTACTTCAAAATTTTTTTTCATTCAAAATATTGAGAGATTTATACCAGATAGAGTTCTAGGCCTTAGTGATATATTACTTAGAATGAATGAATATGAATGAATAAAATAGTGCCAAACACTGGAAATACAAACTTCAGCATTTTCATTTCTTGGAGTGCTTACAATCCAGTAGGAAAAATATCTGTAGTATATTTAAACAAGTGACTTCAATAAATTTCTGATAAATGCTATGATAGAAACAATATGAGGTGTTATTGCAACCCACAACAGAAGAGTCAAAACTACTTAGATAATCACCCCAAAGGAAATTATCTATATGCTGATATGAATGATATATTCAGGTTAAATCATGAGGTGAACAAGAGGGGAATGAGGGCTTTTAGTATATTCTAGAAAAAAGATGGCATTCCCGAAGGCTCAGAAGTCACAGTATATAAAATGTTTGAAAAACTATAAAAATTTCGGAATGGCTGTAATAGTGTATAAGAAGTAGTGAAATTTTAGGAGCTATAAATTGGATGGAGCAATAGATTTGGAAGTGATTACTACTGATATAACAGAGCCTTGGAAGTCTAAAGGAACATCCAGGAAGTGTAAGCAAAAAGAGACTAGTAGGAAACTTAGAAAAACATATTGAACAGTTCTGGCAATGAGGGAGACAA